CGCATCTTCGGCCAACACGGCCTATCGGATGTTCTGATGTCGGATAATGGTCCGCAATTCACCTCATCGACCTTCGAGGATTTCTGCCGCCAATACCATATCCAGCTTCTTCGCTCCCCGCCCTAACATCCCCAATCGAACGGTCAGGTCGAACGCCTTGTTGACACCTTCAAACGAGCCCTTTTGAAAGCTCGTGGGGAGGAGACTACGGACGAGATACTCCAACCATTTCTGTTTTCCTAAAGGGCCACCCCTTATGCGGCGTCTCCTGGTTGTGTCTCCCCTGCTGAAGCCATAGTGGGCCGGAACCTTTGAACGAAATTCCATGCGCTGCTGCCTACCAATCTGCTGCCCCCACAGTCTCTTCCACCTATCTCTCGTGGCAAGCTCTCCGTCGGAATACCTGTCTTTGTGTGTAACTACCGAGCAGGGCTCCCAGACCGGATTGAGGGGACGATAACTGCGCACGGAGACAGTATGCTATTTGACGTCTCTGTCGGTGATGACACCTGAGTTCGTCACCAGAATCAGATCCGACGGCGGCAGTGCAGTAAACCAACTGAACCTGAATCATACGCTTCACTCCCTCTCGACATCCTGCTGCACACCTTTGCCATTCCAGCAGACCAGTCAGGCACCGACCCGAATGCCGCAGCCCCTTCGGATGTATTACTTTCGCAAACAGTTCCTGGCCCTGCACCAGTAGACCAAAAACCACCCCCAACACGCCGGACCAACCGTGCTTGCCAAAATCCGCAGCGCTTACAGGTCAATCCAACCCATAGGCGGTACTGAGACACTTGAAGGGGTAATGTTGGGACTATGCCCATTCCCATGATTATTCATCTCACAAAAAGGCCAGCGAGTTCATCCTAAGCAGCTGTCATGAGGGCGTGACGTAACCATCGATTTTACCGCCTATCTGATTGGCCCATTCACTCAGCTTTGTCTCCCGTGTTCTCTCTTAAGTACATTCAGCTTTTGTGTAAAAATGACTTGCGCTGACTTGCTGTAATATGCTTGTCTGAGTCAACGCACTCTGCCTCTCTGGCCGACCTGTCTTTTCTCTGTCTCCCTAACGGGCTCTTGAGAACCGTCGTGTTAATTACTAGTACCGGGCTCGGGTCGTAAGAGATGATGAACTATATTCTAAAATTTATCGTAGAACAATTAAAAATATGATTCACGTAAATACAGTCAAAACGCCTTTAAAACGATATATAGAAATCATCGAAGTAAATTTGTAACGACACAATCCCATTTTTGTAAACAGTCCCATTTTTCAAATTATTGGTTTTCAATGTAACTGACAGAAATTGCATTATCTGCTTGTTAAGTCGGGTCTAAAATACCTAGTATAGTCAAACGAATGTCCTAAGTAAAACCTTACCCTAGTTGGCTGACTCAAATAATTAAATTAACCAATTTGCTTATGGATTTCGAGATAATGGTTGTTTGGTTGGGGATACTCAATGAAAAAAACACTTTAAAATATTTTGTCCTCGATGATAGGCGCATTACACAATTATTACTGAGGTAGGACGGAAACATAAAGACATTCAAAGAGGTTTATGGAGCACACATATTTTTGGAGTCTGGTATTTAGAGCCCTGATTTATTATTTTGGATTAATACTGCACAATTGAACTGCAATCAAATCTCGATATAACATAGTGTAACTGTTGCCTGAGAAGAAACCTGACCTTTCTGTTCCTGAAAATTTAAATGGCGTTCTTAACAGCAAGCGTACAACCCAGGACAAAAAAAACCTATCTTATATTTCTCAAAATCATTTAACAATACCACAGGCCGAATGTGGACGTCACATTGCACCTAGTACATTTTACATTTCACAAAACGCAAACCCTTACCGGTTATTCGGGCTGCCCTAATCGGCCACTGTTATAATCTAAACACACGCCCTGAGTATTCATGATTTGATTGGCTAGAGGGTTTGATCAGTAGCACATCGTATACAAATGTGCATACTGAAACGCGCAGAATAATGTATTCTCCTTCTCGCCTTCAGTAAATACCAAATGACTGAGAATACAAATGGTAATGGCAGCGTTCCCTGTATAATACAAGAAGTCAGGTTTGGAGGTCCAAAATACGTGGATTTTTTACGTTACAATCGACTTATTGTCCTATCTATCCTGGGCCTACCGGTGGGTGTGGCTGGCCTAATCAAAAGCGGCCCAAGTATCTGCCTGTTCTGTTGTGACAAGAAAGCGCCCCGAACAACTCGTAAGCTCCTCATCGTCACCTCTCTGATTGATGTCCAGTTTCTACTCTTATCCCTGTTCTCTCTCCAACCCTTAAATTTTTGTAAACGTACTAGTCCTCTGAGACTGCCCCTTCTAAACAAAATTCTGTTTGTGCTCCTGAATATTCTCGAATGTTTCAGGAATTGGGTAGTTGCACTCATCGGCCTGGAAAGCTTCCTAGTAATCTGTTTTCCAGTTCACAGCAAACTGTGGTGGAATGGGAAGATAACTAACATCGCCATAGGTGCTTTTTGGATTTTAAATCGTGATTTGTCTTCCTCTCATCTCATACCTGATAATAGAGAATTTGAAACCGGAGTCGTCAGGAGTGACTGAGGGGCTTTACCAGCTGCACTCCTTCACTGACAGCATACTGGTCACTCTCATCCCACTGATAGTTCTCATTGTCTGCAGTCTGCAGATTAGACGTGGTCTCCGGCGGTCGGATCGTTTTCGTCTGGGTCCGAGGGAATATCCAGAACGGCAGACAGTGTCGACTTCTGGGCACAAAATAAACTATAGACCTAACTGCAATATTATACGACGCGTTAAACTAACCCGCGGTCTTCTCATTGCCATCGTCACCTTCACTCGGTTCATGCTGCCCATGGTGCCTGTGAGTATTGTTCAGCTGCTTTCACCTCACTTCTTTACTTCCAATGGTGCCTACTTGATAACCATTTAAGTCTGCTCCTATGTGTCGGCCCTCGGCTCTCAGATGAACTCGACGGCAAACTTATTTGTCTATATTGTCTACTGGGGAAAGTATCGGAAGATGCTAAAATGGATGCTGGGCTGTCAATACGAAAAAGTAATCTAGTTACTTGAAAGGAAACCTACCGGTAAACGTTAAAACGACCGACACAGGAATTCTGACCTAACGTGCATGAACCTTCTTATCCACCGCTCAGAGGAACTGTCGTAATTTGTTTTTACCAGCACCTTGAGCGCATGCTTGGTTTTCATCAAATGTGATGGAACTAACCTTTAGTCCTTTTGGCAGTCTCTTCATTCGGTTTCTTTTGTAAAATGATAATTGCTTTGTTTTATGAAAATGATCAATTTTAACTATGACTTTTTCATAACAGGTACGCGCAGATATTCCTATTACCGAAATCTTTCTTTTTTCTCACGCTTGAATAATAGTTGGCTAGTTTAATACCTGAAAGGGCGATGCACCTCCGTGTTGTTTGACTTATATTATTCAAGAGTGGTCCCACTTTGTCTTGGTGTACTGTTTGCTGTAAAAAGGACGTTTTTTAGAATCTGCTATCCACGTTATTGCCCTATTATAATATTTGACACACGTTGCTACTGCAATGATTTATTAGTATTTCAAGATAGATGGACCTCTGTTTTAGAGAATATTGTACGCGAAAACTAAATACTATCACCATCACCGGGGAACTCTAGCGCACATAGTTGGAGGGCGGTATACGCACCCGACGTGACTTTGCTATTTCACTGTTTATGAAGGGTAATTTATATTTATGGATCTCGGACAACTTTTAACGCCGTGCTGCGTCTTACATTACAAAAATTTATACGACTTGCAATATTAAATATTTCGTAAGGAGATAAAATACATACATTTGCTTAGAAACAAGCGATATTTTTAACATATCGACAGAATTTATCGCAAAGAAGCGTTTTTTTTCACCGCCTCTATTTCGAAATGTTTGTCAAGTTGTAACTCCTGTGTCTATCTAGAAACTATATACCCAACGTTAAATGACAGCGCGAATAATCAATTAGACCGACGGTGAACGCAAAACTGCCACGTCCGTGGTGTGAACTAGGAACTAGCAGGTTAATGGAATGTACATGCTCCGTGATGGCTCTTTCTACGATAGCTGTTAGCCGTTTTTTCAAATGACTATGTAGGATTTCCATTATTTATTTGAGACGCGCGTATTTCAGCACTTTCAGCATTCTGCCTATCATGGTTGGGGCTTTCGCAATAAACGGCAACTGATCTCTCAAAAAATTAACTATTTTAAAAGTCAGTTTACAGCAAACATATGTTTTCAGCAACTCGTCATCAGGCCGAATATTTGCAGAGAAATGAACGCTGTACATAAGAATTAAAGTTTTAATAGATAGAAAAATCATTAACTGTCTAACATTAGCGCTGATTAGCCACTGCGGACTATGTCAGTTCGCGCAAGTTTATAGGGGCGAAATGTAATCGCCACCTGGTGTCGGTGTAGGTCACGGAAGTGTAAGGGCTTGTGTCAGCATCTTTTGACAACATAGCACTGGATTTGCTACCCATATAGCTACTGCTTCAGCTTTTGTAAGCATCTGCTGGCGTAGGCCTTTAGAAAAGTTAGCTGCTGTCTGGTAGACAACCTGAAAGGCTTTATTGCTATTGACTCGATGATTCGTATCGACAAGGTGTGCGAGGATAGAGCTCGAGATCGATTTAGTTTCACCTTTGCTTAACCAGGCCAGTACGTGTTCACGTACTCTCTTTTACAGGCGCCTCGTTGTTCGGCCAATGTATCTTGCTCCACAGGAGCAAGTGAAGGAGTAGGTAAACGTGGCTATGGCCTTCAGT